GCTCAGCTATGCGGTAACGAGTTCACCTCTCTAACACTGAGCTTGGAGTATCTGGACATGTTGAGCCGAACAGTTCTCAGCTGACTCGGAAGTATCAGTCTTGAGGTTCGATGGCTATCATTGTGTATTGGCCGACAATCCCTCCTTAGAGATATCAAGATTACTTACGGTTCGTATCCCTCAGCAACGCGATATGACTCTCCCCAACTATCTGTGTGTCAATCGACAATCTCGTGACCATGGGAATGTTGTTGAGTCGTTCCTTTGAACCCGCTGAGGTGGCACTTACGGCCATTGAGTCCTCGGACACGCTCCTCTCAAGTTGATCGGCACAACTTCTGTTCTTTCACACCCAAAGCCGTTTATTATCTACTAGAAAAAAGATGACTCACTGAATATTTCTCCATCCTTCTGTATGGCTTAAAGTTAAACTATGCCTGGTATTTCCTGAGATGTAAGTGGGAGAAAAATCACACACCAGGCCCAAGGAACATATATGTTGCCTAAGCCTGGTGTGTATGTTCTGTCCGTATTCGATTCAGAATAAAAAAAGGCTGCAGGCCCTTGTTTGCTCTACAATCGAATTCCGATTTTATTTTTCGTCCTTTTAGAACAACAGACACTAAACCACCTCCCGCGGTCCATATCCGGTCCGCGGGTAGCTGCGATCATTCCAGTGACGCCCAGACTTGTACGTAGTTCAACTACTCCACTGAAGTTACTGTAGTTTAACTACTTTTCTGAGTAGTTTAGTAACATTCAATTACAGTTTTATTTCGGTAATTAGTAGTTTACTTCAATTACTTTTTTGAGTAACTCCTACTCAAATTACAAATTCCTTTCGAATTTTAGTGGTTGTTTTGCCTATCAACAAACGTTCGTGCATAAAAGAGATAAGATCTTGGAAGATGAAGTGATATTTGCAAAAGGGGGGGAAAGATGGAGCGTAGGAAAGGGAGGTGGAGAAGAAAATGAGTTGGAGAGTCTGAAATCCCCCAAAATGCTCCCGAACCCCCCCCCCCCCCCCCCCCCCCCTCTGCAACAACACTGCCACAAAGCGCGGGGAGCGAACAAGCACAACACAAGAGAAACCGAGAAACTGCGGGATTTGTGCGGAAAACTGGTGTTTCTTTGTGTCCCGAAGCTCAATGAGACTTGACCCATTCGAAGAAATGGCGTGTTCCCGCTTCTCCCCAACGTAGAAACTCTTGTTCACTACAGGAGGTGCAGACGCAGCGTCCTCACTCAAAGGAGGCAACAAAATGCAGCACCTGCTATGAAGCTCATCTGGTGCTCCTGTAGTATGTGAAAGAATCGCGTGCTAAAGGGCAACGCAAAGGGGACCTTTGTGCGTTGCCTTTTCTCCTAAACATAGAATATGCAGATATTCAAAGATTTGAAGATCGTTCGAGAAACCTTACTAATTCCCCCAACGTTTCTGTATAAAAAAATAATAAACAAGCAGTGTTGGGAAGCACTCCAAGTACATGGTGCTTAAAGTACAACTGTTTAGAAAACTTGTACTTTACTTGAAGTACATTCTCTGGGCATGTACTTGTACTTTCCGAGGAAAGTAAAACTCCCGACTACAATGTAAATTCCCCGAATTTGAAAACAAAAATGGCGTATCGTCATGTGAAAACATCATCTGGTCATTCCTCTGAGTGAAGTAATGGCGGCTATAAGACCGACATAAATAAGTGACTTGTTAGTTGATTGTGTCAAGTAGCTTGTCAGCGAGAGTAAAACAACTGTGGCGACTTGTCTTGATACAATATTTGCTGCCATTTCCGTGAAAAACTGATGCACCTCCGATTACCTCTGGAGCAATGCGTGTCAGTTAAACAAACACTGTATAGGGAATGAAAGAGCATCATGGAAGATTCGTTTAAAGGTACTGGTACTTTACCTTGAAATATATTGTATTTATAGTACGTCCCTTCAAGTACATTGCACACGGTGTACTTACTACTTTTCTTGAAGTACGTAACCTCTAATTTACTTTGTACAATGATCCAAGTACTGTTTAGATGTTCTTTACGCAACACTGTAACCAATCAAACACTGCCTAAAAATCAAGCTCTTGCAGTGCTAAACCTCAAAGTAGAAATGACACATTCACAGTACATCATTGACCAAACAAACAAGAAAGTACAAAACAATTAGGCACGCAGAAGCAGAACCAGCTATTACAGCATTTCCTTCGAAAAAACAATCCGATCCATATTTGGCTTGCACAATTTCGCTAACGGATCAAAACCTATGCACTTTCTTTTTACCATAAAAACATATCAAAATAACTACAAAGTAATTCCAAAAGTAATTTGCTACTTTTTAAGGTAATTAGTAATTTTCTCAATTACTTTCTATTTGAGTAAATTCTATTCTACTCAAATTACATTTGAGGTCAATACTCTGTAACTTAACTTATTTACTTTCCTTGAGTAACTTGTACATGTCTGGTGACGCCCAACTCACGGCCCGCTGCTACCAACGCAAAAAAGTGCTCGTTAAAAAATCGCCGCCGCGAGACGCATCAAAAGTGCAAACGAAGATATAAGGAAGAGTGAGATAAAACTGTAGTGTTGTGCAAATATTCGAATTTTTGAATAGTAGTTTCGAATAATGCGCTATTCGATATTCGCTTGGAGATGAACTCTGATGTTTGTATGTTTCGGAATATTGATCGCGGCGGGTTAGCCCCTGTTGAGGGCGCTTCTTACTGAGAACCGGCGAACTGCAGCGAAACAACAATCGCAAAGCTCGCTTCTGCCAGTGTTGCTTCTCTGCAGTGCATTGCTGCTCAGTAAGAAGCGTACTTAACGGGGCTAACCCACCGCGACCAACACTTTGAATGAAAATTGCGAATACTGCAATCACGTTCTTAAGAGGAGGCCCACTTTCAAAGCGAGATGGCGCACACGCGCGCGTGCTGTAGGAAATTGAATTTCTGAGATCACAGTCCATAAATATAGCTATAGTGACTTAGCTTAGATATGAACAAGGGGAAGCCTTAGAACATTGCGTTTTCAGATGGGTTTTCGGTTGGGCACTGTGCAATAGTGAAAAAGCTTGTAGAAACTATTCGATATTTGAATAATTCGAAAATATTCTACCAAAGCAACAATTCTTTTCGAATTGGCTTCGAACTCAAAATCCGCTATAAGCATAGATCTTGAATATCCCATCAAAAAGCCGGTTTTCTCGACATATTATTTATTGTACATTGTCATCACCATAATTCCTATTCAAAGTTCGCTGCTTCATGTTTGCGTAACCATGAAAAAATCCCTTTGCATTCTCGTGTGTATCATGCATAATGATCTTATCTACCATTTTCATTAGTATTCTACCCTGCGCGACTCTGCTAAAGTTTGTATGCGATTTTGTCTGCTGAGTTCTTCCGGTCACAATATTTTTTGTCACAAAAAGTAAAGTATTGCACTTAAAGATAAAGTGCATGTATGTGTCCACCTTACATTTTTGTTTAATTTTTGCACTATTTACTTATGTTTTTGTATTTAAAAGTCGATTTAAGCTTATTTACATAGTATTTCCCCGTTTATATTGTTTTCCCTTTCCAACCCCTGGCGAAAACATTTGGATACCATTGTTCTAGATCTAGATGAACAGCGTGAACGTCGTGACATCATTTTAATATTTTGGAGAGCGCAATAATATTCAGTGAAGATTCTCCTATCCCTCAAGCAATAAAAACGCAATCCATATTGTAAAACATAGTCTTAGATTTGGGATCACCATAGCCGTAATGCGGTTCTATTTGGTCACTCAGTCAAATTGATCCAGCAAAAACAAAACACCAAAATAAAACACTTATTCATAACTGAGTTTGAATAAAGCTCTGCGCACTCACGCTTTGACTCAGATGTGACGCGGTGAAAAAAAAACGAATATCTTTGCTTGCCCTCGGTCAAAGACGACCCAAAATTCTTATTGTTGTCCTTTGAACATTTACGTTTTTGTCAACACGTCATGAATAGCCATTTTTCACGTCGACTTGGCAAATCACATACCTGAACTTGCCTAGGTGATGCAGTACGCTTATGTTACAACACAGTGTCGACTAAGCGAATCAGTTTCACTCGTGATTTCACCGACAACCGTGAGGATCTCCTCTTCGGCCGGGGTAACTCCTTAATACTAAAGTAGAAAGGTGCCGTCACACTTCGGCGTCACGGTACCTTACAGTTTTATTATGTAGGCACTGTCACGCTCCTGGCGCTGTCACGCTTCTATGCTCGTCCAGTCACTACTTTTACAGTCCAAGTCGTCTCTAAACTTGCGTAATAAAAAAAAAAAAAGCCAAGGTCACCATCGTATACCGCTAAATGCTCTACCTTCTAGCGATGCGTCTTGCAAGCGGAAAAAGTAGTCTTATACAAATAAAACAATAGCCGACACTGGGAAGTCGCAACATTTGTACGCTTCCAGATTTATTTTGAATTCCCAGATAGAGGGAGCGTCCGTATACCCTACCGGAACATCTTCTAGATCGCTTCGAGATATTGCTTGCGCGTAAGTCAAGGTCTGGAGGCGTTGATTTCCACCCGTTTGCCGTCCTTCCGCACGGATTCACCGTTAGGGGCACAGGAATCGGAAACTCTCTCCCCTCCCCCCTCCCCCGTCCCCTCTTAAACACGCACTTGGGGCGCGGAAATTCGCAACAAGCGGGCGCGCGCCCCACATATTTTTGTTTGGCTCGCAGAAAAGGGCTGTCAACCGGAAAAAAAAGTCTTTCCGTTATGATCTCTCGTCATTTTCCCTGCCCTTTCCCCGCGGTGGGACGGACGCCATTGGCTAAGTTCCTCGCTCGGAGAGCACAGATTTGGGAGAGTGGGCAACTGCGACCTCGGATAGCGTATGTTTGCAATTTCATGGCGGACGCCATCATGGTGCCGATTGGTCGCAAGTGCGCATGCGTGGTTTTGTCGCGAAGCGAGGAGGAAACCGGACAGGGAGGCGGCGACGCTCTCGCAGACGATCAACGCTTTTTGAATACAACCTGGCGACTCGTGTTGCAGATAGCGGCCCATAAACCACGTGACCCTTATTGAGCAGTCGGAAAACGCACTCTGAAAATCTAGGCACACTACCTTCGTGGTTACGACAGGAACCCGACTGGCGTGGGGGGACACCGGTCCAGTCGTCGCGCGGCAGAACGTCGGTGCGTGCGCGCACGTGAGTCGCTACGCGGGTTCGTCAGCCCGCCTTAGTTGATTATCAATCGGCTTCATTGTGAGCGAACTGCGCACGGCGCCCGATAATGGTTCGGCGTCACTATAAAGATCGAGATTAGAGGAAACAACGTACGCAGCTTCGCAACGGGATACTGAGAGATCACTCGCACGCACGCACCTCGAAGCTCCGAAGCATCGCCCAATAAGTGATCGTTGCGTTGTCTCAAGATGAGGAAGAACCGTCAAGAATGGGAATTGGAGGTAAGGCCTTCTTCACTCCCTTTAGGACTTAAAAAAAGGTGTAAACATATTTTCTTTCTCGTTTTTTTTTTTTTTTTTTTTTTCTTTTAGTCGGTTTAGAATGTTTAAAGATGGAAACTTGCATTCCGTTAGATTTAGCGAAGCGAAGCCGACTGCGAAAGCGTCATTCTATGCCCGCTTAGTTTCGGTTCGAAGCTGAGTAGAAGGGAGACATTTAACGCCCCGTGGCGCCCACGCCGAATGTTTTAATCTTTGTGACATGCGTGTCACTAGACCGCATCGAGGACCAGCGTCAATTGTCCAAATGCATTATTCGTCCAGAAATAGAAGTTTACGAACTTGATTTTATTACTTTTCGAAAATGCCTGCATCTCTGCGAGACATTTTAGAGGGGGAGGGGGGGTGGTGCGTTTTAGAAATCATTAATAAAACATCATGAATATTTATATATAAAATCTATTAAACACATCTAGTACAAAAACTAATGTAAAAAGACTTGTTCATAGAAAACAAACATCTCTGGAATTAAAAAAGAAAACGTTTATCAGCACATTTCGAATATAAATGGGACTATCAGAATAAGTGTAAAAATTAAGGCGCCATTCATTAAACACAAGCCGAATATCTATTTGAAACACTATCTTGAGAAGTCGTCGAGCATATATCTAGGTTTTCCACTCTTCAATAGTTCTCTGGAAAAAAGAATAAGCAAGTAGGTCAGAGTGAAAGGAGCAAGGATGCTCTTGAGTCATTAACTAATTAGTTAAAGCAGGTCGCCTCTTTTTTAGTGGCCGCCATGGCCACGATCTTGGCCACAGATCTAAGTAAATCTCAACACAAGTTCTTTTTTTTTTCTTTTTTTTCTTTTTGTTTTGTAATTCGGGCCTTAGTCATAAAGCAGCGCACTGCATAGCCTCCTATTCTTTTCTCGTTTCCTTTGTTTCACCGAGACAGGAAGCCTCCCACGATGTTTCTTGGCAGATAAACCCGGATCATGAGGGGATGGAAGTGATAGAGACGCGGACATGTTCCCGGAAGCCGCGCTCATAGACGCAAGAAGCGAGGCGCGTTCTGCATCTTAATGAACTTCAGCAGTAAATTTCGAGTTTCTGCTGGCATGCACTTACTCCACATATTCACGTTGATCACAGCTTTAAGTTCTTAATAATGAAACAGCAAGATGGTACGATGTGTTTAGTTTCAGTCTAGCTTTGAATGCATTCGTGAAAGCAATGGATTCACGAAATAGTACATGTGGTTTAACATATCGGTGTGATCATTTTTAGGCACGCCTAAGGAGCTGAGGGAAAGAAGGCACAATCTAAGTAACAAATTACCTCAATGAGGCTTTGCTGATTGTATGAATTGGTTGCATATTCAAAACCAGACAACCAAAGCATAATAGAAGGAAGTTCTCCCATGAGTTTGTTGTCCAAAGATTTGTGGGAGGAATCTGTCTGGGAAGTTTGATATCAAATAGGTGGAAAAAGAATATTCTTTTCTCGCAAGGAGGTATATCCCGTTCCTAAAAATAGAAACGTTAAAAAAATTTTAACTTATATAAATTGATGTTAATCAAGACTAGTTCTGGCTACAGCAGTGAAATTAGAATAGACAGCGTCTATTTCCACCACACTGAAATACCCCGCACGCATTCGTCAAAAAAAAAACAAAAAAAACACATCCCGATGAAGTGTTTCTCTTATACTTCTTATCAGTTTCATGCTTTATCCTAATCGTACACGGTACTCAAATCTACGACCTTTGGCGTTTATAAAATGCATTGCCTCCATTTTATAATTAATGTGCTATTAATCACATCAATCGCCATAATACTTGCCGCCACTTTGACTATCCGCAGATAGTTGGGTCTGTCTATGCATAACACTGTTTACTGGGGGTGGGCAATTCGTCGATTAATCTACCGATTAATCGATTAATGGAGGGGAGGAGGTTGAAGGATGGGGGAGAAGGAGGAGGTTGAGGAGGGAGGAGGAGTAGCACGCAGGATGAGGAGGTGAGGAGGAAGGAGGAGGGGTATACCATCCCTTCAGTACCCTTCCCTCCTCCTCAAGAGCTGCGCTCTAATTCGGCGTTACAGGGTGTTGTAAACGTCTCATTTATTTATCCTGGTAATCGATAAAATGTTAACGAACCAAAATAAATTAAAATTTACACGCTTTCGCCACGCAGACGAGGATGAGTACACCTGTACGAAGGGCTAACTTTAGGTCAACATTTAGCCTGAAATAAACAGTAGGGGCAAGACTTGTGACTCCTGATCAGTCCCGAAGGTTACACATGTCCCGACCACTTCACCGCCATTCGAGTGTCCGTTTAGCGCAGCACAGACTATTGTGAGCAATCAAAGGAGGTCGCTCTTGCCGGAGAATACCAACGAACCTCTTTGCTTGTGCAGCTGCAGTAATGATCTGAAAGTGTGATTGTCTCAAAACTGTTGTTAACTACACATCGAGGTTGATTCATATGAAAATTGTATATTGCGCCGTCCATCTCATACTCAAACAAAAAACTTATTATTATACGAGGATTTTAACCAGACCGATTAATCGATCAATGAGTGGATTAAAGAGTGACAATCAATCTGGATAAAGCTTTTATTCGACGCACGTTTACACCAGTCACTGGAGTAATAAACCCACGCCTTGCCGAAAAAGCCTGCGTGTTCACTCTCCCGTGGAGCACTCGGATAGCCAATCACCGAGATGAACAGCCAAGCGACTTGCGGGGTCACAAATAACGCCCTCTCGATGGCATACTGCCTGCGCAAAGTGCATTCCCCCCCCCCCCCCCCAAAAAAAAAAAAAAAAAAAAAAAAAACTTTTTTTGGTTATGTTGACTGGCCGTAGGTATACCCTGTGTTAAAGAAGACCCTCGAACCTCGTTCACAGGCAGCGCGTGTATTACCAACACCGTTAACAAAGACCGATCAAGAAAATGAAGCACTGTTTTCCCACATGGAAAAGTAAATTATGCGACGCAGGCAACTCGAACTCCGTGAGAACGTGACGCTAGCGGTGGTGGCGAAATGCGAAAGTTTGAGAACATGGCATTGCCTGGATCAAAAGATAGGAGATAAAAAAAAAAAGAACGTTTCTCATGAACGCGAGGTTCGCCTAAGCCTAATAATTTATTCATCAAACCAAGAAACGGCACTGTGGGCTCCCGTACCACATGTTTTCGCGAAAAAAAAAAGTAAATAAAAGTTTGTTGGAGAGAAAGAAAATGATATCGTCTTTCTTGCTGACAAGATTTTTCAGTGGAATTAACGCTAAGCGCCCACAGTGTTTTCTTTTCTTTTTTTCGTGATGAATATTAGGCTTAGGTAGACTTCGGCTCATAGAAATATTTTATTTTCTCTTGCCTATCTTTTGATTTAGGTAACGTCATCATTTTCAAACTTTCGCATTTTGTCACCAGCACGAGCGTCACGTTCTCACAAAGTTTCAGCTTCTTTTTTTTTTTGTCGATGCGTAGTTTATGTTTGTTTGTCAAAAGAACGCGTTTTATTTTTCCTCGGTCGGACGCTGTAGTCAGTGACCGTTTAAGAAACTCAAGGAGTGGCCCTACGCCACACTTGTTGCCTTAAGATTTGTTTCTGGTCGTTCTTAACGTTCCATGTTCAATGGCTGCGAAGCGCTGATCAGATGCTCGAGATTAGCCACGCCCTGCATTTCTTACGCTGGCGGTCATTATAAAATAATCAAGGCCTGCGAGCATCCTCCTCTCCTTCCATTAAACTTCATCAAAATCGAATGGCGCCAATCAAACAATGGGACCCGTGGATGACCGTCCTTCGATGCGTTGATCAGACACATGGCCCCAACCCAACGCAGCTCTCCTCTCCAAACTCTGTCTTCATTCGAACTCGCTATGATGACGTCAAACATTTTTAGTGCAGAAGCTTCGATTATTCTGGGTGGTGTTGGTATTACTCGAGGATATAATGGCTTGTATACTCCGTATGCAGATGTGCATTCGGCTCCCAAGTTCAAAGCAAGAAAAAAATAATTTCTTAAGATTGAGCCGCTCCTCTCGATATTCCTGATCGTTGAGACTACCAAACTTAATGTACTAAAAACGATGCCAGTCGTCAGGTGCAATAAATATATTTCTAAGGATATTCATCTCTTAGCGACAGCGCGACCAGAAAGTTTGCATAGGATGCACTATCATCCATGACAAACCATTGGTAACCCCTAGTCCACAGGCAACAGCGAGCCTGAGAGGTCCGTGGTCAAAATGGAATAATATTATGTGCAGACGCTTGGAGCTGACCAATAAAGAACGATTTCTAAATCGCGTTGAAGTATTAGAGGCGCAGTTTCTGACTGCCATTTTTGCACATTTTTTTTGTGTTAGTAATTACCTCTCGTACATGATTGTGGAGAGGGTATGAATGTTACCTTGTTACCGGTGGCACGCAATCATATTCATCGATTCGCGGAACTACACGTTTATGCTAGGTCAAAAGGCCTCCGAGTTGCTTCATTTGAAACGTCATTAATGCGGGAATTTTATATTTTTTTGTTAGGAAAGGATTGGCGTGTCCGAGCCGTCCTAAATTGCCCTTTGGCTCCTTACCAAGATCAGTCAACTACACGTGCTTTTATGGTAGCTCCACGCGCTGCACATCGGTACGCTAAGGAGGTAGTGGAGTGATAAAGGGATTCTACGATCTAGACCCCATTGAAGGCTTTAGTGTTTCCAGATAAAAAAAAAAATGAATCAAACAAAAATCCGATTGCGATAGACTGGGAATCGAAAATTGCTTGCACTATTTCAATTTTCGTGTGGTATCCCAGTCGCTGCGCGGATCATGTGAGCAGCTAAGTGCAAGCAGGTTCAACGGACAATAACTATAGGGTCTTGTTTATTCGGGGTTTATGGTTCACCACTGATTCGGTGCTTTTCGCTATCAATTTCTGGCGTCGGAGAAGAAATCGGAGTTTATCAAATCTTATGTATGAGAAAATGAA